CAGACAACATATCTCAGACAACATATCTCAGACGACATATCTTATACAACATATCTCAGAAAACATATCTCAGACAACATATCTCAGACAACATATCTCAGAAAACATATCTTAGACAAAATATCTTCCTCAGACAACATATCTCAGACAAATATCTCAGACAACATATCTCAGACTTCATATCTTATACAGCATATATCAGACAACATATCTCAGACAACATATCCCAGACAAAATATCTCAGACGAAATATCTCAGACAACATATCTCAGACGACATATCTTATACAACATATATCAGACAACATATCTCAGACAACATATCTCAGACGACATATCTCAGACGAAATATCTCAGACAACATATCTCAGACGAAATATCTCAGACAACATATCTCAGACGACATATCTTATACAACATATATCAGACAACATATCTCAGACAACATATCTCAGACGACATGTTTCCCTCAGAGATATATTCTCAGACAACATATCTGAGACCAAATATATTTTATGTAAACAGGCTATCCAGATCAAATCCTACTGTAGGCCAATCACATGTTGTTGTTGTTCGCCAGCGGAGGTAAAGTAAGCAACAAACTGTTTTCTTAAAGCATAACTGAATTCTGACGCTTATTATTTTTGTGCAACGAACCATGTTATCGAGAAACGATAGGTGGTGCTTCAGTTCTATTTTAGGATTCAGTTTAAGCATTTAACCATAGATTTATGTATTGTTTATTTATTTTTTAAACACATATTCATGTTTCAATTATCATTTAAGTTTCGACATGGCTATAGCTGATAGCCGCAGGTATTAAAAATACATATATATTATGCATACACACACACACACACATATATATATATAAATATATATATATATATATATATATATATATATATATATATATATATATATATATATATATATATATAGTGGGGGCACCAAACTGAAAGTTCGCCCTGCTTATACAGAGTCATAGTGACTGCCGATAATTGAATGACTAACCGCCCATGGGAGTGGAGGGTTCTATAGAGCTGTAGTGAGTTTATGTAGCATTGATATCTGCGTAGAATTCCAGCACTTTTAAGTCAACAAAATATTATATTTCACAAACTTAGTTTAATTGTATCATGCATCAGGGACTCTTCTGAAAATTTGTTTGCCTTGGCAACGGCAGCTATCTTGAAAACAAAAACTTTTGTAGCATACCGATTGATCAACAATTCATTGCAGCGAACACAGTTTAAAAAAATGTTTATCTTTATTCGGTTATTAATGCAGCTGGATTTAGTTTTCTCTATAGTTAGCAGGTTTATATCATGGTATCATGTGTATTGACAAAAAAAAAACGCACTCTCCAAGGCGCCTCCTATTAGAAGTTTTAATTTTTTTCTCGCAGAAACCTTCTCATCAAATACTCAAAGTTTCATGGCACTCTGACGAACGGTGTAATATCTACATAATCATAAATTATTCTATGGGTTTCTTTTTAAGTATTAAAAGTATTAAGAGATCTTTTAAAAACTAAAATGTAGATTTTTATATAAGTAGATTTGGATATAAATAAGTGTGGAAATGATACTTTTGTAAGATTTTTCGGTTTAGCAACCATGAGCTTTACCGACTCGACCACGCCGACCCTTGCACATTCTCATCAACTTCTCAAAGTTTCATGGCACTCGGATGAACGGTGTGATATCTACACAATCGTAAATTATTCTATGGGTTTCTTTTTAAATATTAAGTATTAATTGATCTTTCAAAAACTAAATGTAGATTTTTATATACAGTAGATTTTTATATAAATAAGTATGGGGATTATGCTTTTGTAATAATTTTCACCCCAGCCCCATCAAAATGTATTCTGCCGTCCGTCGTGCTGTGTTTCATAAAATGGGGTAACAGCCTGACTCTAGCCATAGATTTTATAATGGCTTTGATCCAACACCTCATTCTGGCTAGGATGGGATAGGGGAATGATGGGGAAGAGCTCGTTTTTTTATTTTAAACGAGCTGACCCGCGACGTAGCATACGCCGCTATCTAGTTGTTTTATTTTCTACTTATCAACAATTCATAATTTGTGAATTCGACACTATCCCACCCCCTGCCACCCACACCCTCACCCTACCCCACCCCGCCCAGTGAAAGCAATGAAAATATCAAGCGACCTTACTATCTCCCCTTAGTTTCAAATAGTTTAAAAACTAAATTATCTGCCCCTAATAGCCGTCACTTATTCGAACCGGCTCTACAATTGTAAACATTCGGGGTGAACCACAGCTTACCTGACAGTTGGGGGATGAGGGCGGTGGCTAAGCTGCGTGGTGTTTTCTATGGTCTCCATGAAGAGAATTATGTATATTGAAGATATTGTGAAATTCTGGTCATTTTCTCAAATATCAATAAGGTTCTGCTGTTGTTTTGTATCTGTATTGTTTTAAATTGTTGTATGGTTTTTATTTTTATCTTTTAGGTTAAAGTTTCCAGTCA